TCTTTTATATATCATTTTATTTGTACACATTTGTGCTATTTTTTCTACCCTTACTCCTTGTTTTTTCCTTGAGACGAAATTTTGTTTTCTTGGGTATTTCCTAATTTGATAGTTTTGATGCGATTAAGAAAGAGTTTTTTTTTTGAACCTTTAATATTAATTTAATACTTTTTAAAGTTTTATTTGAAATAGATATAAAAATATAGTGTAAAATTGTTTTTATAAAATTTATTATAATGAGTAATTATTTAAAAGCAATAAAAATAATATCAAGAAGAATATAGAATGAATCAAAAAATTTTGTTTTAAAAAAAAATCTTTAAATTATTTGATTTATTTTTTAAAAAATTTTTATTGATTATTAAAATAAAATATGCAAGAAAAAAATTTTTTTTATTATCAAAATTTTATTTTATTTATTTTATTTTTTTTTTTTTTAACCTGCAATCAGACTGGTATTGTATATTTATTAAATTATAGAGAACCATTACACGTACGAGAATACATGCAAAGTACAAATTTTCTTGATCCAGCTCACCTGTCTTAAGTCTAAGCCTCTAGATGTGATTTATGGGGATGATGCGTTGCTAGCCTGATGGTTAAGATTAAGATCCAATTGTACCATGAGGATTACAGTCTGCAGATCACCTCTATAGTTACGACCATAAATCCAAATTGTGTTGTCACTCTTTTGCAGAAACTACGCAAGAGACAAGGGATAAAAAAAGGAATAAGGGTAGAAAAAATAGCACAAATGTGTACAAATAAAATGATATATAAAAGAGGAATAAAAGCTATCATCTATTCTATCTATCATTGAAATGGTATTTCAGTGAACAAAATCCAGACCTCTCATGAATACTCACTTGTTATCACCTGTGATCAGTTAAACTGTTTAATTTCCATCGAAGCGAGTGATATCCAAGAATGTTTAAGGGCATTTTCTGGAGAGTATTTCTTGAAACTTTATGCTTGAAGTCTTCTAACCAGAAAGGATGTTGGTTTTCTATTGTTGATTTCTCTCCCAAGCCATGTCTTTCTGGAATTACTGCTTCGCTCAACTAGTAGGTAATTTCAAGACTCCTTTCTCCAACCATTTTCGGGATAGATATTGATGCTTCAACTTGTTATCAGATTGGGATAGAATTTGAATCTTGTGGTTACTCCTAGTCCTCTAGGTAGAATAGGAAAAGAAAAGGGGCAAATAAAAGGGAAAACAAAAAAGGGGATTGTTCCTTCTCCACTCACAACTTCAACCATTGCCTAGAACTCCCTTGCTACTCCTTCGACTAGAAAACCATCCAACTCTTTTCGGAACCAATCATATCATCGATTTTGGTATTATGCGACTTGAAACAAGTGAGAAGATATGTCTTATTTACTTTTTCTATGGCTGACATGATCAACCAATCCGTGATCTTGGCCAATTATCTTGCAGGAAAGTCCGGTGTAACCAAAAATTCAGGGTCAAACTAAAATAGGCAAAATTCCCCAGAAAAACCAAAAAAAAGGAAACACGCTTGAGAAAAAAAAAGTGGGAAGCTAGAGAGATAATATAAAGGCTGGAGGCTTCTTTTTCTTTATTTCTCTGGGCTTTTAAACCTTCTGGAGGTCTTTGGAGAGTACTTTTTCTTGTCAGTTTTCTTCCTAGAAAGGTGTTCTTGCCATAAACTTTTTGGGTATGTTTCTTGTATTTAGTTGTAAAAATATGCAAGAAGGTGTTTGAAAAAGAAAAAGAAAACAAGTGGTAGCTGCTGCTCACTCTGCTGGTTAAGGAACCAGTGTTGTTAAGAAAAGTATATAGACTTTATTATCAAAAAGATATAAAATCTTTTGAGAACATCTATTTTTTGGATTGATAAATGGATCAGTGGAAAGAGTTTTATCTTTTTTTTTTTTATTATCAAAATTTTATATAAAGTAATCTTAATTATTCTTTATATACAGTATATAATATATAATCTTATTTTTTTTAAATTTAAGTAATTATAATAATTTGATATTATTTAATAATAATTCTAATTTAAAATTTCTTTTCTGATATAGATTAAATAATTATTGTAGATAAGTTAATATTTAACCTATTGCAAAATACATATGAAAAATATTGTTTCTTTCTTACAATATATGAATAAATAAAGAAATACTATTATCTACTTTAAAAAAAAAATAAGTTAATAAACTTTTCTTTTTGTTTCTTTAAAGATAGTATATACTGTATATAAATTTAAAAGTCACGCCGTCATAAATAAATGTTATAAATCTGACATCATAGTCACGTGTACTTGTAGACACGAGAACACATTAAATTACGTATATGCTTTGACTTTTATGTATTAATACATGAAATCTATTGTTTAGACCCTTACAGATTACATAAATAACCAAAACATTCACAAATGATCTTTTTGAAAAGGTCTTTCGAAAGAACACGCATTAAGGTTCGCTACTCTTTTTAAAGACACGTAAAATTTCACATTAGAAAATCATCAAAAACATGTTGCCGAACGCGCAGGTATGGTGACGTAGCAAGATTTTTTTGAATCCATGCGAGCTAATTTGTTTCGTACCATTTACTTTTTCTAAAGGTTGAAGACATGATAACCGTAGAGAAGCATATTACATCTTCTATCAATGAAACAATCACAATAAACGCCGCTACCATAGCAAATATAGAAGATGATATGATCGTGTTATCAAGGAAAATAGAGAAACGAATAGCAACCTTTCAGCCTCGGACTTCGCAACTCGATCGTGAGACTTTGGAATCACATCGGGATCCATTCAGAGGATTTTTCACCTTATTTTGGATCGCGATGGCATTCTACATTCTTAAAATTGGCGTCGGGAAATTTGAGTCAGCGGGGATTCTATTTGATCCATCTTTCTTTAGACTATTTTCGCATGACGCGATTGGATTGATATTAAGTGATGCATGTATGGTGGGATCAATGTTTTTTGTGGTATTACTGCAAAAGTTGATTGCACTCGGCTTGATCAGGTGGAAGTACACTGGGATGGTCATACAACACGCATTTCAGATCTCATTTCTGTTTGTTCCTATTTATTGGACTTTCGTGAAGTATATATAAATTTTTTAATCCATTCGACCGTCTTTCGACTCCAATCGATTGATGAGATTCTGATGATGATGATTCTTGTTCAGAAATTGGCCCTGGGTGCAAAGTGGATTTTTCGTTTTACAC